TTATTTCCTTTTGGTCTATTTCCCCTTTTATTAGTATGGAATGTCCTTCTTTATCTCGTTTGATCAATGTAGGTTTGAAGTCTACTTTGTCAGAGATAAGTATTGCTACTCCTGCTGTTTTCGGGGCCATTGGCTTGGTAAATCTTCCAGCCTTTCATCCTAAGCCTATGCTTATTTCTGTCGGTGAGATGGGTCTCCTGTAAGCAACAAATTGTTGGATCTTCCTTTTTAATCCATTTCGTCAAGCGGTGCTTTTGATGGGTGAATTAAGTCCATTAACATTAAGCGTTAGTACTGATAGGTATGTGGTGATTCCTGTCATTTAGTTGTCTTGGTTGTTTGAAGGTTTGGTTGTGTGTACCTAACTTGATGTTACTCTCTACTGTCTTGCTTTTTCTTTTCCTGTGGTTTGGTGCTGCCTGCCTTTTCATGGGTATGTTGGGTCTCACTTTCTGTGTGCAGAAGCCTTTGAAGAATATTTTGTAGTGGTGGCTTTGTGGTCACATATTGTTTTAGTTTCTGCTTATCATGGAAGACTTTTATTGCTCCATCTATTTTGAATGATAGTTTTGCTAGGTAGAGTATCCTGGGGTTGAAGTGATTTTCATTCAGTGCCCGAAATATCTCACCCAAGCTCTTCTTGCTTTTAATGTTTCTGTTGAGAAGTCTGCTGTGATTTTGATGGGTTTACCTTTGCATGTTATTTGTTTTTTCTCTCTTACAGCCTTCAGTATTCTTTCTTGGGTCTCTGTATTTGTTGTTTTAATGATAATATGCTGTGGGATAACACAGTTTCTTAATCCATTCATAGTTGTGGGGCATCATGGCTGTACCCAAAAGCTTGGCTATTGTGAATGGTGCTGCAATAAACACGGTTGTGCAAGCAGCTCTGTTGGATCCTGGTACACATTCCTTTGGGTGTTCTGTTTTTAGTTTTTAGAGCTACCTCCATACTGCTTTCCATAGCAGTTGCACTATTTTATCTTCCTACCAACATTGGGTCAGTGTTCCTTTTCCCCCCCATCCTCACCAGCATTTGTTGTGTATGTGTGTGTGTTACTGATGACAGCCATTCTGACTGGCATGAGGTGGGATTTTTATGGCCAATGATTTTAAGCACTTCTTCATGTTTCTTTGCCATTTGTAGTTCTTCTTTTGAGAACTGTCTGTTTAGCTCATGTGTCCATTTACTCATGGGTTGTTGGGCTTGGGGAGGTTAAATTTTTGTACTCCCTGTATATTCTAGTTATTAATCCCTTGTCAGCTGTATGGATGGCAGAGATTTTCTCCCATCCTGTGGGTTGTCACTTCAGTCTGTTTCCTTTGCCGTGCAGAAGCTTTCAGCTTCATGCAGTCCCGTTTGTCAATCCTTTCTCTTCATTTCTGGGCTACTAGAGTTATTGCCTAGGTCTATTTGGTCCAATGTGGTCCCTATTCTTTCTTGGAATAATTTCCGTTTCAGATCTTACAGTAAGGTTTTTGACCCACTTTTCATTGACATAGTTCAAGTGAGAGACTGGGATCTAGTGTCAGTCTTCTGAAGGTGAATATCCAGTTTTCCTAGCACCATTTGGTGAAGAGGCTGTCTTTTGTCCAATGCTTATTTTGGACTCCTTTGTCGAAGATGAAATGGCTGTAACTGCATGCGTTTGTGTCTTGGTCTTTATTCTGTTCCATTGATCTCTGTGTCTGTTTTTTTGCCAGTCCATGTTGTTTTTGCCACTCTGGTTCTGTACTATAGTTTGAAGTTAGGTATTGATACCTCCAATGTTTCTCTTTTTGCTCAGGATTACTTTGGCTATTTGAGGTCTTTTGTGCTTCCATATTAACTTAAGGGCTGACCTTTCTATTCTGGTGAAGAATGACATTGGAATTTTGATAAGGATTGTATTTGATATATAGATTGTTTTTGGTAGTACAGCCATTTTCACAATATTAATTCTGCCGATCCAAGAGCATGGGCTGTCCTCCCATTCTTCTAATATCTTCAGTGATTTATTTCTTTAGTGTTTTTGAATTTTCATTGTATAAGTTTTTATTTCCTTGGTTAAATTTACTCCTAGGTATTTGAATTTTTGAAGCTATTGTGAATGGTATTGTTTTCCTGATTTTTTTCTCAGACTGTTCATTGTGAATAGAAATACAACTAATTTTTGTGTATTGATTTTGTATCCCGACACTTTGCTGAGTGTGTTTATGATATCTCAGAGTTTTTTTGGTAGAGTTTTTAGGGTCTTTTAGGTATAAAATCATGTTACCTGAAATAGGGATAATTTGACTTCCTCCTTTTTTACTTGAATATCTTTTATTTCTTTCTCCTGTCTCATTGCTCTGGCTAGGAATTTCAGTACTATCTTGAATAACAGTGGAAAGTGTAGACACCTTTGCCTCAACTTTTCACTTTTATTTTGTCTGTCTTTGGTTGTGAGGTGTGTTTCTTGTAGGTAACAAATTGTTGGGTCTTGCTTTCTGATCCAGTCAATCTGTGTCTTTTGATTGGAGAGTTAAGTCCATTTACATTTAGTGTTATGATTGAGCGTATTTACTGATTCCTGTGTTTTTATTGTTCTTTTTCCCAAATTGAGTATTATGTTGATTGTTTCTTACTTTTGGCTTTGTTCATCTTCAGGTTTTGCTGATTTACTGAGTTGCTCTTTTCCTAGCTCTCATGGGTTCATCAATTTCTCTTTTGAGTTTTACTCTTTCCTGACCCCTTGTGTTTGTAATTGTTTTTCATCCTCTTCCATGTAAAATATTCCTTTGATTATCCTTTGTAATGCAGGCATGGTGGACATAAATTGCTTGTTTTGGAAGGTCCTTATTGTTTCTCCATCAAGATGGAAGAATGATTTTGCTAGATAAAGTATTCTTTATCAACAGGCTGTTTGGGGATATTTGTGAGGAGCCAGCATGCAACAATTTTTGTGGCACTGGGGATTGAATAAAGTGCCTCACACTTGCTAGGTAGGCACTCTTATCTCTTGAGCCACTCTGCCAGCTGGATAAAGTATTCTTGGTTAGCAATTACTCTCTCTCTCTGAGCTTAAATTATGTTGCTACATGCTATCCTGGATTTTAGTGTCTGTGCTGAGAAGTCTAAGGTGATTCTTATGTGTTTACCTTTGTATGTAAGGTGGCATTTTCCTCTTGCAGCTTCCAGTAGTCTTTCTTTGTTCTCAAGATTTGGCACTTTAATTGTGATATCATGTGAGTTGTTCTTTGCTGGTCATGTCTATTTGGATTTCAAAATACCTCCTGAACATTGGTGTCTACATTGTACATAGATTTGGGGAATTTTCTGCTATGATTTCATTGAATATGTACCTTATGCTTTTAGTTTGTATTTCAGCTTCTTTCTCCACTCTGTGAATTCTCAGATTTGGTCTTCTGATCATGTCCCAGAGTTCTTGTATGTTGTATTCACATCTGTTTATTTTTTACTTTGTGATTGCTTGTGTGCACTAACCCCCAGATCTTGTCCTCCATCTCTGATATTCTTTCTTCTATTTGGTCTTGTCTTCTGGTAATGCTATCTACTTTGGTTTGTATTTGGGTTCTTGAAGCTTCAATTTCTAATATTTCTTCTTGATAATTTTTCATAATTTCCATTTCTTTGCTGAATTTCTCTTCCATGTTGCTGTCTTTCTTGTCTAAGTCTTGGATTGATTTCTTAACTTTGTTTATCTGTTGATTTGAATCCTCTTTTAGATCACTGAACATTTTTAACAGTAGGCATCTGAATTTTCTCTCAGACATTTCAACCAATTCATTATCCTTGGTTCCAGAGGTTAGGTTGTTGTCATAGGAGTTTAGAGGTGAGATGTGGCCTTGGCTTTTCATCTTTTAATTTCTACACTGTGGTTTGTACATCTGTTGTCTGAGTTTCCTTTTACTTCCTCATGTAAGTAGATAAACTACTGCCATAGGCAGGAGTATTTGAATGAGTAAGGAATGATTGGGCGCTGGGGCAGATGACATAAAATCTGCATAGAAAACACCTCTCTTATTCATGAGAATATATTCTAAGACCCATGCTGGATGCCTGACACTGCACATGCTTCTTTACTTTCTATATACTGTTTTTTCATATAGATATACATGCATATATACATATATATGGATGTTCATATGAATATATATGAACATATATAGGTGTGTGTGAATGATAAAATTTGACTTATAAATTAAGCCCAGTAGGGGATCAACCAGTTACTAATAATAAAATAGAACAATATGACAATAAAATTGCCAGTATAGCTATTCATGTACATTGAAACCATAATTAAAAAGATTATGAGAACAGAGCACACAATACTTCAATGTAGATCTGATTACCTAGATGGCTTGTGAAGGAAGATGGGCAGCTGGCACTCAGTGTCCATCTATGGACAGGGATGAGTCCTATCTCAGGGCAATGGAGCAGAGCAGCACAAGGTTTCATCTTACTATGTAGAATGGCACCCAGTTTAAAATTTGTACATTGAGGTGAATTAAAAATCTGAATTTCTGGAAATTGACATTTAGAATTTTCAGACCATGCTTGATGGTGTGTGAATAAAATTCTGGGAAGCAAAACTATAACAAGGGTGAAATAGTGAGTCAATAATCATGGAATACCATTGCCTGTTCAGTTATGTCTTCAGAGCTGAATTACATCTTTGACTACATAAAAAGTCAGTGCATTACAAAAAAGTAAAAAGGTTCACCACTACATTTAAAGTTAAATTTTATTTTTTAAAAGTATAATTTTATACAGTTTTCAAAAAATGAAAATTCGGCAGCCATTAGGTGACTCAGTAACAGAAAGCTGTTTACAGCAGTATTTACAGTAGTGGTAATATTTACTAGAGCAATCATTATCACTGAATTCACATCTCAACTCCTATCTTCAATGATTGAAGTGTTGGATCCCACACAGTAGATGCTGGTTGGGTTGATGGTGACGTCCCTTCTCTGCGCATGCTGTTCCCTCAAGACCTTCCTTATTCCTGGCCAGCAGCTCACACAGTAGGGTAGACGGCAAATGAGGCGGTTCCACAGTGGTTGTTCTTATCTCTGGCTATCTTTACGTAGCCATCCATGCCCCACTGTTTACCCCAGCTGAAAGAAGAATAAGTTCTCCATTTAATAGAAAGAATGATGAGCATGGCTTTATTAACAGTAATGCCTGATTGAAACGCTGTGTCAAAGGCCCCAGAGGTGAGAGGAAGAATCAGAAAGAGGGAGTTGATATTATTCATTTATAAACTGCTGCCTCAAAAAACACACATAACTTTGACCCCTAAACACAAATCATCATCATAAACAGGATTATGAAAATAAGAGAGAAAGGATAGGATGTCTTTCCAGCCACATCTCTGACAGAAGAAAGTTTTCAGAATTTAGAAGTGCAATTGTATAAATACAATATGAGTAGCCCCAGAAAGGGTGTGATAACTAATGTTATAATCACACACTAACAATTCTGTGTTCAATCTAAGTGTGATAAAGCTTCCTGGGTCCAGGAAACAACAATTCCATTTTGATTTTGCAATATACGTATTTTTGACAGTTTCTACCTGTTCTTGATCAGCCAGTATTTTCTGTTTTTTGAGTCTTCTCCTTCAAAACCATAGCCAACAACCAAGACAGCATGGTCCAGGTCAGTGCTGCTACATTTGGGTTCATAATAAATGCCTAGAAAATAAAACCATAGTTATGGGGTGAGGCTCGAGAAGCCTGACAGTGCCCTGCTGTCACCAAGAAGGTTGGTATCTCTAAATCATGAAAATGACATTAACTCCAGATAAGACTTTGAGAGTATAAATGTTCTCAACACTAGGAATTTATGCTCTCCTGTAAAACAAGGAGAAATACAAATTGGCATAAATCATTTTTGTTACAAACATCCTTAGAAGCATAGGACAAGACCGTTTAAATCTTGGGATTATACATATGCGATGCCAGTCTAAGGAGACAGCACAGATCACAAAATTACTTGAATCATGAGGATCCTGTAAGATTTACTACAGAGAAAATATCCAAGATGGTGGAGGAGTAAATGTTATCTCCATCCATCTCCTCAATTGAGAAGAGCCTGGGTAACAAAGGGGAGACTATGTTCTGAAGAACATAAGAGAGGAAGAGGACTGAATCAGTGGGACAGGGTGTTTGAAAACACCGTGTAGGGTAGCAGAGTAAATTAGGAAAAATTTGTAGCTCCAACCACCGCTCCCCCAGGAGGAGGGAGAGCTGAGCCCGCCACCACAAGGTGAGCCAGGTGGCCTCCACAACAGAATAGTAGACACAACTGTGAGACAAAGCAGTTTGTGGGACACCTCCCACAAACTTTAAATCTCAATGTGGGGATTTGATGGGATAGTGACTTCCCTAATATAACAGGCAGAAAACTGAAAATAGGCTCCTGTCTCTCACCCTGTACAAAATAAGCTCCAAATGGATCAAAGAGCTTAATGTAAGACCTGAAACTTTGAACTAATACAAGAAAAGTGGAAAAAATCCTGGAAGATACAGGCATAGGTAATTATTTTCTGAGTAGGACTAATTGCCCAAGAATTAAGAGAAAGCATTGACAAATGGGACTCATCAGATTTTAAAGTTTCTGTACAAAAAAATAAAAAAAGTGGTTACCAGAATCAAGAGAAAATCCACCAAGTGGGAGAAAACCTTCACCAGTTATTCAACAGATAAGAATTAGTATACAAATATACAAAGAACTTAAAAACTAAACAGCAAAAGAAACAAATAGCCCAATTAATAAATGGGCAAATTAATTGAGCAGACTTCTCAAAAGAAGAAATACAACAGGCTAAGAAACACATGAAAAAAAATCAATACCCATAGTCCTGAAGGAAATGCAAATCAAAACTACACTAAGACTCCATCTTACCCCAGTCAAATTGGCAGCCATCAAGAAAACAAAAACAAAAGCTGGCAAGAATGTGGGGAGTAAAGGAACCCTCATGTACTATTGCTGGGAATGTAAACTAGTGCAGCCTCTGTGGAAATCAGTATGGAGACTCCTCCAAAAACTAAAGATAGACTTATCTTATGACCTCACCATACCACTGCTAGACATGTATCCAAAGGAGAGTGAATCAGTATACAAGAGAGATGCATGCACATCCATCTTTTCACTGAAGCATTCTTCACAATAGCTGAACTGTGGGAACTGCCACAGTGCCCAACAACTGATGAATGGATAAAGAAAATTATTATATATGTCAAAATATCATACCATATACAGATGTATAGATAAATGTGTGTTCACATGTTCTCACTCATTAGTGGAACCTAGGTCTAAAATGATGATGGTGGTGATGATGGTGGTGGTGGTGATGATGGTAGTGGTGGTGATGGCGATGGTGATGATGGTAGTGGTGGTGATGATGGTGATGGTGATGATGGTGATGGTGATGGTGGTGATGGTGATTATGGTGGTGGTGATGGTGATTATGGTGGTGGTGATGGTGATGATGGTGTTGGTGATGGTGATGGCAGTCATGGTTATGATGGTGATGGTGGTGATGGTGGTGATGATGGTGGTGGTGGTGATGATGATGGTGGTAATGGTGTGTGGTGGTGATGATGGTGGTTGTGGTGGTGATGGTGGTGATGGTAGTGGTGGTGGTGATGGTGATGGTGGTTGATGTGTGGTGATGGTTTGGTGGTGATGGTGTGTGTGGTGGCGAGTGATAGGTGATGATTGGTGATGGTGGTGTGGGTGGTGATGGATGGTGTGGATGGTGTGTGGTGATGATGGTGTGTGGTGGTGATGATGGTGATGGTGGTAGTGGTGATGGTGGTGGTGATGGTGTGTGGTGGCGATGATGGTGATGATGGTGATGGTGGTGGTGGTGGTGATGGTGGTGGTGATGGTGTGTGGTGATGATGGTGTGTGGTGGTGATGATGGTGATGGTGGTAGTGGTGATGGTGGTGGTGACAGTGATGGTAGTCATGGTGGTGATGATGCTGGTGGTGATTATGGTGATGATGGTGATGATGATGGTGGCAGAATGTGAATGTGTGTGGGGGACTGTCTGGGAGGATCAGCAGGAGAGGGAAGGGGAAAGGAATGGATACTGAGGGGTAAAGAGGATCTATGTACAATTCAAATAAACATGAAAACAGCATAATGAAACTCACCAAAAACTGTTTGATGGGGGAAAGAAAAGAAAGAGGGAAAGGAAATATAATGGAGGGGGTGACCTTATTCAAAGTACTCTGTATGCATATATGGAACTATCACAATGAAATTCCCTTGTATTGTTAATGTATGATAATTCAAAAACAAATTAAAATTTAAGACAGAAATGCAATCTCAGGTAAAAATTTTTTAAAATCCAATAATTGGATAAATTTAAGTAAATTAAGCTATGCAATAAATGAAGTAGCTATTTTTTAAATTAGGAAGTACATTCATGAGGCTATAATAGAAGGAATGTCAAATGGAAATAACAACTAGAAATATTTCATAAATTGAATAAAAATTCCATGCACTGAATATTTACATTAAATTTAAAATACCAAAAACATCACTGAGAGGATAGGTCATCTGGTGTTCCATTTTTTCTACATGAATGCCTAGAAAGAAATATGCTTACCATCCTTATAGAAGCGGAAGGAAAGGTGACTTGCATCAATAGCAACAGAGATGGGCCCCACAGTCGCCACGGCTTTCATAAGGGCGTCCTCGCTCTTTGGGATTCGCACAAAACCTGTGTCATTAGCGGCAGAATTCTCAGGACGGTATCTGCAGGGTCCCTCCTTTTAAAGGTAAAGAGGAAAAGACTTGATTACTGCCACCCACCTCCTGGGAACATGGGCTCCACCCACAGCACTCAGCACTTTACAGTTAAGGTTTCCAATCAATGGTGTTGTAACCCAGGAATTCAAATTCTACTGGAAGATTTGAAACTGAACATTGACTGACTAATCTTTAATGAGACCCTGAAGGTCTTCCTGCCCAGATTGTCACAGTGGAGAAATTTGTATCCTATGTGAAATGTTTGCACATTCTCATGGTAGACACAGCAAGAATAGCTGTATGGAAACCATGTCATCAGGAGACTGTGCAGAGCCAGTTTCATGGCAACAGCACTGAAGGTTCGGGAGATGGTTCTACCATCTAACGTGGGAATTCTGAAGAATCTGCCTTGCCTCTGAGGGCGTCCCCTGTTCCAAAGCTGAGGGGAATGAGAATGAAAGAAAATCCATTTACCCTGGCCTCATAAGGATAGGATTCCTCGGTGTCCAGGCCTCTGTTGTCCTTGACGTACTGGAAGGCATCACCCATCCAGCCACCATGGCAGCCATGAGTGCCTTGAGCCTGAGAACAGTCCACTAGGTTCTGCTCACTCAGTGACACCAGTTTGCCAGTTTTCCGAAACATCTGTCCTTCTAGGGCCCCAGTTGCACTGAACGCCCAACAAGACCCACACCGACGCTGAAAAGGGAATGAAAGTCTGTCATCCACGAAACAAATAGCATGATTTTGACAGAATTCACACAGGTGAATAGTCTTTATAAACTAATAAACTGCACATAGCTCCACAGTTTGCCAAATAAGGACCTCAATTCCTTCTTGGCTTTCTGGGCAGTAGAAGAAGAGTTGAATTTGGTAGTTTTATATACCTGATTCTTCACAGGTGTCACATAGCCTTTCTTTCTCCAATCCACAGATTTGGGGACTTCATCAAACAGAAATTCCTGGAATACTTTCCCTGTCTTCTGCTCCTGGATTTGCAAGCCTTTCATGGATTCACTAAGCTCTGCACTGGTCTTCAAGGAAAAGAAATGAAATTATTGAAAAAAGAGGTCATTTTGTAAAGAACTGAGGAAAAGTACAAATTAAGCAATGCACATCACACTCACCAGGTCCCCAAAGGCGTTCATGGCCAAGGTGAAGCCATGTTTCCCCTGGCTGTGCTCCTTATTGTGCAACTCAATCATCTTCAAGTTCTCCTCCCATACTGCTCGCCTCTGTCCTTCTTCATTCTAGAAATAAGCACAAGCAATGAGCCCTCGTTCTGTTTAAAATCCAACCCCTGTTCACCAAGTGCACCTGCTGACACAGATGAAGAAAAACTTTGGCTGTGAAGGGCTTCATCCTTCTGGAAGCCATTCATTAAACTCAGAGACAAAAGGGTTGCTTGCTACACTGTGATCACATCAGGTGTCATTAGGTTACTGCCTTGGTAAGGCCTGGTTTCTGGAAGCTACTCCCTGGCTATAAAGTCTCAACAGCAAGGACCATTCTGCCTAAGCTCCAGCTGGACACTTTTGATGTGACCAACCATGTGGTAGCTTTTCCTATGCTTTGTCTTCCACTCGTGCCACTGTGAATCCAAAGTGCGATCCAGTGTTGGAGCAGCTGAGGTCACCCCCAAGCAAAGGACGGCCAGTAACACAGAAGGATTCATGTTTATAAAACCTAGAAAGGGAAAAGAAATCGGGGTCAGATTAGACTAAGGTTTCTAAAACTCCTTCTTGCTGAAACCAAGAAATTAAGTCATGGAATAAAAGTAATTAAGCTGAGGTGGGGCCACGTGGCTCACACCTGTATTCCCAGATACCCAGGGGGTGGAGATCAGGAGGATCACGGATCGAGGTTACCCTGGAAAAAAACTACTTGGCTAGGAAGCATGAGGCGCTGATTTCATTCTCATATTATATTAGCTCTCCTTCCAAGAATTTCCCCCAAAGACTATGGAAACGGTTAAAGATATGGTTAGGATTAAAACAACCAAGTAGACATATTTGGTAAAGCCAACAAAATGAAGAACAGCCTAGGAATCTAGGAATTGGAACAGCGATAATTTAGGTTATGAGAACAGTGTGAATGGACCCTGGGCTTCAGAAGCTTAACGCAACAATGAGGAAATTAAGACATGATTGGACCTGGTTTTGTACCAATGGTACTGAGGTCGACTAAGCAAAATCACTAATGAGGCATATGTCCCCAAGTAGAGGCAACAGAAACCCTGAGGGTGAGCAGGCACCTGACACATTCATCTTGGTTAATATAGAGCTAAGTCTTGGAACCTCCCAGTCTTGAATGAAACCCTTCTGGAATGACTCCCTAGAGAAACTGGGAAGGACAGCATTTACTAGTCCCTCTGTTTCACAGTGGGGACAGGGCCTCCAACATCTGCCTTCATTGTATCAACCAAGGAGTGGGTCATGTGGCTTAGCCCCTGGAAGCCAAGCCACCAGTGTCAGTATCTCAACACCAGGAAGCCATTCCAAGTGTTTCCTGCTCGAGTCTGGGCCTGGTCCACCATGCAGCATTCTTGATTGAGCCTGCCTAGGACATGCTAACCTTACCCTCTGCTCTGCCCAGGCCACCTGAGACCAGAAGATTCTACCTGGCTGTGATGGACAAGAGGATGCCCAGGGAGAGATATATATGGCAGCCTGGTGAGCAGAAGGCCAGCTGACTTCTCCTTTCCAGCCAGACCAGCACCCATTTGCATTGACCTGAGCCCTGTGCAACCTGTGTCCCCAGAGTGGTCTCAGAGCCTCCTCAGGTTCCCCAACCACCCTCCTGCACCGCCCCACCTCAAGGCTGCAGAAAGCAGGAAGTTGTCCTCATTCCTGGGTTGCTCCTTGCATTCTCCATGCATCCCTGCAGGGATCACCGCCTCCAAACTCCATTCCCATGTCCCTTGGTCAAGCCAGAGGCGCTCACCTGGGGTGGCCACAGCTGCACAGGAGAACTCCACAGACTCCACTCTTCAGAGGTCCCTGGGGTCCAAGGAACTGACCTTGTTGCACCTGACTCGGGCTTTAAATTCCCAGTCCCTGACCTGGCTGGCTCCTCCCTTGCACATGTTCATACTGTGATTGGTTGGGACACCAGCTGGGTGGGACCTTCTGGCTGTGGGACTCCAGGCACAGGCTGAGAATAGGACCAACCCGTTTTAGGAAAGAGGTGGGCCACCTGTACAGTGCACTGGAAGGAGGTGAGCAGGAAGTCCCTGTCAGAGGAAGGAAGGGAGCCACCCTGGAGGGCTTGGATCTCAAAGAGTACCCTCACAGTCACCTGGCTGGTGACTCAGTTAAAAAGTTCACACTAACCCTGCTTTCCCCTTTGTCCTAGAGGTTCTGTTTGAAATCTGGCGCGCTGTGAGCCAGTGCATTCTAGTCTGTCAGCTCTTGTTTAATCTACAGCTGAGGTTGGGCAGGACAAGATAGAGACCCCCATGGCCTCACGGTCTCCCGGTTTCAGGGTGCAATGAGGCAGGTTTCGCAGGGATGTGCCATGGAAGGCAAGCCCCTAAACGGTGAGAGATGGATGGCAGGGATGGGAGGACGAGGTCCAGACCAGGGCAGGGTCTCCGGAGACTCAGTGGTGCTCTGTGGGGCACTGTTTTTGTTTCCACCTCTCAGGGACATCCTTCCTCCTTCAAGACTTCAGCAAAGCAGCAGAAATTGGTTATTTGCAGAAAAGTTTGCCTAATAAAAAGGAGAAGAGGCACAAGAACTTTGGGAAGTGCTTCCATTTTCCTCTTTCTCTTCTTTGTGTTATCTCCCTCTGTCTGCTCCTGAAGTTTTAGTTTTAGGAAATTTACCTTATGACAGCTATAGAATCTAAAATATGGACAAGAGAAAACTTTTAGATAAATATATATATATATACACATATATGTATATGCTGAGAAATTAAGGAACAAATTAGAAATGTTTCAAACCTTTTTTGTTTTTCCAATGACCAAAAAAATATATTCATTATACAAAAATCCCTTTAGGAAAAATATCGTTTTTCATCATAACATTTTTCTATGTTGTTTCTATGCATTTTCTATGCATATTTTGACTTCTCTTATTAAACATGCAGTTATAGTCCATTCCTGCATATGAATTTATTTCTACTTAATGTTAAATTGATGTTCCATCTAGAAGCACCAGGAGACCTGTATTTTTCGTGATGGTGAAGGATATACAACATGGACATCCCCGTCTTCACCATTTGGGGTGCACAGGTCCATGTTATTAGCGACACCCACACACTTGACCAACCACCAGCACCATGGACTTCTGGAACCTTTTCATCTTGCTAAACTGAAGCTCTGTGCTCTTCAAACAGTAATCCTCCATCCCTCCCCGACACCCGGCTCCCCATTCTCCTTACGTCTTTGTGAAGTTGACCACTGCTGTGGGTTGAACGTTTGTTTTCTCACAAACTCATGTGGAAATTTAATGGCGGTTGTTACAGTATTAAGAGGTGGGAGGGCTAAGAGATGAGTAGCCCCCAAGATAGCATCGGTCAGAATTTCTTGCTTTCTGAAGTTGAGTAATATTCTGTTGTACATAGATATCTTGTTTTGATTCTCTGTTCATTTCTTGGTGGACATTTGCTCTTGTTAGTCATGTAGCTATCAACCTAGACATACAAATATCTTTTCCAACCCTGGCTTTCAACTTCTGGGTGTATCATTAGAAGTGCAGTTCTCTGGGTGTGTAACCCTACACTTAATTCTTTCCACATTATTCAAAGAAGAGGAACCATTATATTTTGCCAGCAGTCATGCACTAGTATTGTGACTTCTAGACACCACATAAACCCTTCATGTTTTTCTTTCTTTCCTCCTGTTGGTTTGTGTTTGCTTATCATCAGTAGGTCTCTCTTCCTCTCTGAAATAGCCATCTTGGTTGTATAAATTAGTTCTGAGTTGTACTTGTCTAGTGAGCAGTGTTGTGAGGTATCTTTCCTTTGGCTCATTGGCCATTTGTGCTCCATCTTTATGGGAATGTCTACTCAAATCCTTTGCCTATTTTTTATTAAGTTATTTTGTTATGGTGGTGGTGGTTCCATCTTAGGAGTTCTTTATACATTTTGGGTACAATTCCTTATCAGATAAATGACTTTAAAATATTATCTCCAACTGTGGTGTGCTTTGTCATGCTGCAGGTAATATTAGCTGTGATGAAATCCAATTTGTCTGGGTTTTTTTTGTGGTTGTATGATGTTTTGCTTTTGTATTATATCCAAAAATTATTGCAAAATCCCATGGCATGAAGATTTTACTCCTAGGGAAAAAAAGAGCCCCTCTTGGTGTTGAAAAGAGGAACCCCTTTTCCAGCAAAGCAAACCATGAAGACTAAAATATCCCTCTAACTATCCCCACCTTTCTGTCTTAGAGCTGACCCTAATGAGGGTCTCCTACCTAGTGTGACCACTGGTAGGCCAAAAGACCTTCACTCAAAAGGGGTCCCCCATATCTGGAAGGAAAGAATGATACACAGACAGGCTAGAAGAATCTGAGGGGACCTTAGAATCAGAGCCTTTTGGGGAGGTCCCCTTTAGACACAGCTGTCCATGGCGCACCAAACCTAAGAATACACTGGACAGTTTGCACCAGATATTTCTTTTTATACCTATTTTATTAGTTTATTAATTGTACAAAAGGGCTTCATTGGCTGGATGAATGGCTCAAGTGGTAAGAGCACCTGCCTAGCAAGTGGCCCTGAGTTCAAAGCCCAGTGCCACAAAAAAAAAACTAACTTCAAAAGGGATTCATTGTGATATTGCTGTGCCTGCATAAAATCTACTTTGACAAAATTCACCCCGCTCTACTATTCTTTCATATTACTTCCCTTTTCTTGGCAGTTTTTAGTGGGTTTTTTTATGCTAGCTGTATAATACCTTCTAAGGCCATACCACCCTGAACACCTGCAATGTCACCTGCCCTGGGTCTGAGAACCTTAATTATAATGAAAAAAAAAAACCTTGATTAACAATTTTGTTATGTTTTCCTCTGATTAAGCCATCTTTTATTATAGCAGTGGCAGCTATAATCCTTAAGACAGGGTAAGAAAGGTATAATAATTCGTTAGTACAGCATTGTTTAATTTCATTAACTCCTGAAAATACAATATAAAGGAAGAATTGAGAGTCCATTGTACAACTAAAGCACAGCACAGTTATCTCTGTGCCCTTAGGCACATAGTGTAGACACTCTGTGCTCCCAATCTTCCAAGAAAAAAATGTAAATAACATCTTATCTACAACAAGGGAAGAGTCAAAAATTAAAGTTCTCCCTAGCTTCCAGGTATTTCAAGGCACATGTGGACGGGTGTTGTGCTGATGGTTGAATATGCTGGGGGAAAGGGGGAAGAAGACCAAAAGGACACAAACTATGGATGCATAGTCTCTGGGAACAACCCCATCTAGTTTTACAAAAGACAATTGGCCACACACTGCAGACACACAGCTGCTTGTAAACTTTGACATTCTTGTTTAAATCTTATAGAGCTGGAGTGAGCTTCTCAGATAGGTGTTGACACTCAAATCAGCCAAACTGGATTTTGTTGTTCACTTTTGCTTTCTGTTCTGCCTCTATCTGACACAAAAGTAAATTTAAAAGGATACGAAACAGGGAGGAGATGTGAAGGAAGGAAAACTACAATGGAAGAAAAC